GTTTTCTCTCTGAATACCCCTTGTTTTTTGTACTTATTTTTATTTTTGTTTGTGCCAGATATCAACTTTGTGATCTAAGAAAATAGAGATATGAGTTATTTTTGAACACTTCTAAAATATGTTAAATGAAACATGATTTAAAATCAAGAGGACCAACCTTTTCTGAGTTCCCATCAACGTGATGAGCTTATACATGTGTATAATACATTTACCACAATGCATTTATTTACAGTAACACATGAAATATAGTTGTACATATGTCAATTAGGTTCCTATATTGATCAAAATTATATGTTAGTAAATATTTGATTCAAACAGATGTAATAAGACTTTGTTTACTTTTCTTTTTCATCTTTTTGGATTTAGATCTATTACACCTTGGGTGTGTATTGCTGTGATCATTTTTCTTTTTTTCAGCCTACCCAGTAAACCTACACAAACCTTTTCAAAAAGGGAATACAAAAACAGTCAATGGCATTTATTGTCAGAGGTTTGACAATGCTGTCCCTGTCAGTGAAACACACATGATATCCTCACGGCAGGAACAGCACATCCCATTTGCTGGTTTTATGCTCGGAAATACCCATGCACGTGACATTACGGTCTCTTAGAACAAATATTGCCATGTTACTAGATACTAAACCATAGAGGCTTTAGAATGTGTGCATTAAAGGTATACCAAATTATGCCTTTCTCTAACAACAATACATTGCACACACAGGAAACAAAGATCATATATTTTCACTATTTTTGACGAAAACAAGATAAATACTCTTGACATTATGTACTTCCTGTTTTATTTCTGTGACAAAGAGAGGATTAAAACGTGGTATTTTCTTCTGCAGTTATTCAAAGTTTTCCACTGAAAAAAGCAAGATGTAGTCATTAAGTCCATTGTTGCAGATGTATGGTGAGGGAAAGTGATCCTGATCATTTGGCAACGTAATCTTTACTTATTTCCACCAATTCATGTATTGGTTGTTGTTAAATACTCTTTAGTACTTTCTATTTGGTCTACTTACTAGTGCTGGGGGGAAACGATTATTTTGAAAACGATTAATCGGGCGATTATTTGATCGATTAGTCGACTAATCTAACGATTATTTTTCTGTTGTTCAATTCATAAAAAACGTAATGTAAAAAAAATTTTTTTCACGATACTGTGTCTCAGGGGATCTTAATATTTAAGAACCTATTAATGTGTTATACCAGATTAACGGAAATAATCTCAGCTAACTGACGATACAAACCATGTTTACCAAAACAAAACACAAGTCTCATAAGAAGCATCTAAATGACCCCTGAGCGAAAAATGCTAACGGACATTGGCACAGAACTCAAGATAAAAGTACCCTTATTACTTATCGTAGCTGCACTTACAATATATCCGATTAAAGCTGAGACTCCACAGATTATGTAGGTATATAGTATCATCACTGAGTGATCCGGACTTGCGACAGGGGAAGCAAATACAGTCATCACAACACGTACCTTCACAGAGCTTCTCGGGAGATCGTCTCACCACCGTAATCTGATCAAAAGACGTGTTCAATGGCAATAAAATGAGAAAAAACGCGGCTGAATCGGTTAATCCATAGGTTTTTAACGTCTATGTATAAAAAAATGATTGAATTTATAATCCATAATTCCATTTTATGTAAAAATCGGAGAGCAAATGCTAGCTGCTAATGGTAGCCACCACAGCTAGCTGCTGCTTCTGCTAGGCTATGCAGCAGTCTCAGTGAGATATAAATATATAAATATCTTTGCGTTTTGGACTAACTTTAAAATATTCCCATGCTTTTGAAGACCTAGGGCGAGATGTTTTCGTTTGGGGGCTTCGTGCGCAATCCTGTGAGGAGGAGATGGTAGCCGTTTCAGTCTCTATTGTGTTTGAAGTGCGATTGCGAACTGCTTGTTGCTTTGGGTGACCCACGTGTGTGTAGCGACGCGTCGACGCGGAAATATGTCGTCGACGATATTTTGAAGTCGACGCGTCGACGTCGTCGACGCATCGCTACAGCACTACTACTTACACACCTCACTGACAAATACTTTTTCCAAAATCTCTTAAAAAAGCAAGTTAAAGGCCCTTGAGTTTGGATTATTTTGTGACAGCTATTGCCAAGGTCAATAATTTAGCACGTAGTAGTTTAAAAATATGATCCATTAATGTTTTAAAATGCCTGCACAGTGCACAACTCTGTAAATATGTGAGTATAAATTAAGCTGTGCTCTAGGAAATACTTTGTCGAGGATGCATGACAAAAGATAATCGGATCCTATACTGTACATTTCCTCAATAGACATAGGTGCAGCACTAACATTATTAACTTAGTGTTTTTGTTGACTGATTCTGAGTCGGATACCACAAACCAGAGGCTTCTAGTTAATTTAATCAAACCATCATTGTTGCCATTAGTTATACTTGTAAATTCCCGCTGCAGTTCGCCTGCCAGCCTGCCATCGGGGTGGATGACGCTGTCATCTACCTGCTGCAGAGGTCCCTCTCCCACCTGGAGAAACATGGGGGGGGCACAGTGAGGATCATTTTCTTTGATTTCTCCAGTGCCTTCAACACCATCCAGACCCCACTCCTGGGGGACAAGCTGCAGCTCTCGGGGGTGGATCACCACCTCACCTCCTGGATCCTGGACTACCTCACCAACCGCCCACAGTACGTGAGGACAAGGGAGTGTCAATCAGACACCATCATCAGCAGTACGGGGGCCCCCAGGGGACGGTGCTGGCACCGTTTCTCTTCACCCTCTACACTGCAGACTTCACCCACAACACTGCAACCTGTCACCTGCAGAAGTTCTCCGCCATCATTGGCCTCATCACCAACGAGGATGACAGGGAGTACAGGGAGCTGACGCAGGACTTCACCTTATGGTGCCAGAGGAACCACCTTCAGCTGAACGCAGCGAAGACCAAGGAGCTGGTGGTGGATTTCAGACGGCGCCAACACTCCCCTATGGGCTCAGAACAGTCTCATAATACACACATGCACACACAGAAGGATTCACACTTGTATTTCATGATCCGAAAAATGATTCACACTTGTATTTCCGGATCCACACTTGTGTTTTTCGATGCACACACAAATGTGTTCCGTTTTATATACATGTAAATAAAATCCAATGCAGAAAAAAGTTTTACATATGTATTTTTGATCCTCACATATTAGTTTTCCGTTTAAAACCGCTGCACCTACAAACACAAACCGCTTTCTGTGCACGGATCGCTGTGCATTCGTGTGTGGGTTTTTTGAGACTCCCCTGACGCTCACCCGAATTCGTACTTGTAATTTTTTCTATCTATAGCCAATCAGATGTCTCCTCAATTCTAAGCCAATCACATGAGCGCGCCCCCACGAGGGTAGATTTCTTGCGAAATGCCTACGTCTGTTTCCGGTTATTTTTATTTTAAATTCAGTTCCTGACGGACGCCAAAAAAGCCCGAGATTATGGAATTAAACCAATAAATAAAAGCAAGGATAATTGTGTGTTATTGGTGAGTAAATAACAGTGTGTTATTTTGAAAAGAATAACAAATTAGAAGGAAAAAAAGATTTAAAAAATACAGATTTCAGTATTCTGAGGCTCTGAGCCCCATTTATTTTCCTCACAGACGGCAACAAAAGTCTGAAATTATACGATTTAAAATAAAAGCAATAATTGTGGCTTGATATTGAGTAAGAACATGTTTTTATGAACCACACAGCTTCCGGTCTTCCACGACCCTACTGCTTGACCTTTCATCTAGAACCCACCTCACCTCTGCCCACTTTGACAACCTAGGATGGCTTAGAGTAGACGACAGAGTACAGCTACTTGCAATGGGTCTACAAGATCCACTACACCTCTATGGTACCCATGTACATGTCAAAATTCTTCCCAAAGGTCAAGGAATACCATGATCATAACACCAGAGGGAGCTCCACAAATCATGTGAAACCCAGATTTGGCACAAAAAAGGGGGAATACACGTTTCGCAATTATGCCACATCAAGGTGGAACGCTCTTCCCACAACTGTAAAGGAAAGTAAAACTATACTTACCTTCAAAACCTCTCTTAAAGAGCACCTTCGGGGGAGAGCATTGCAAAACTGGCCCCGGTAATGGTACAAATCTCAACCTGTCGTTCAATGGACAGCTTCCCCCCCCCATCTATGTATATACTCGCATTTTAGACTCTGTTACTAACTGTATATCTGTAGACTTAGTATGTCTTAAATGTCCGGTTAGGATGTATTAGAACGAAATCTAAAATGAAATTTGTAAATAAGCAATCTGTATGTAAAAAAACCACCTGTATGTAAATTGTAAATAAGCCATCTGTATGTCAAATATGTCTTATATGTCTTAAATGATATGATGAATTGGAAATGGGGGACCCTGATGTAAACAAGACGAAAGTCTTTCTCTGGTCTGCATCCCCTTAACAATTGTATGTTTTGAGCTGTACTGTACTGTACCCAATATACAAGCTGTTAATAAACTTTTCAATCAATCAATCAAACCCGACCGGAGGAAAATACGTGCTGCAGGCACGAAACACATAACCAGTAGAAATACATTGCCTTTAAAATCGTGCTGTGCAACACGAAAAAAAGTGGAAAATCGAATCAATAGATTAAATGTTGTGTTGGTGAACACGAAATGCCATGAGACTGGGTTGCTGGGTAAGCTGTCTGTGGCTCTTTCCTGCTGTAACGCTGCAAATGTCCCCTCTGTGGGACTAATAAAGGTATTCTGATTCTGATACTGTAAGTGTCTGCTTCGAAAAATGTGAGATTGTTTTAACAGATTATCTCAGACTGTCTCTAGCATGAAGTTAGTTGAGCGTATCTCTTTTGTCAAGTGATGAAAGAATGTATCTCTTCAAACAACATTGACAAGGGATTAATGTAGAGTTTGTTTTGGACAATGATGTTGTTGTAATTCCTGAGAAATAAAAAAAGAAGAATGTCTGGTCTCAAAAAGCCCTGACTCACTGACAAGTGTTCACTTCCATCTTCACATCTTCAGGGTGTGTTGTGCCTTCTTTGTGTCAGTTTCTACCATTGATTGAACTGCTGCAAATTTAACAATATTGCTGCACAATTGGACTTGGAACTCCAACGAGGTAAGAATATTCACCTTCATGTTTTATACATTTCAACCTTTAAAGAAATTAACCATGACCAATATCTGTTAACACTTTATTTTAAAATAGACTGTCGCTAAACCACATAGTATGCAATTTGGTATAATGATGAGTTCATAATAAATGCCTAGGTAAAACATTTTAATTGGTGGTTTTTCTGTACAAGTTTTTTTGAATTATAATTAAACTGTTTTGAATGAATAACTTCCATTTGGGCTCGGAAATGCATCAAGTGATTTCTAACTTTAATTCACAATCTACACTTTTCCTTTAATATGTGTACTGCTTTTAAATTGCACATTTCTATTGACTCTTACTATTTAGGTATTTGCTAAGAAACACCTTTCATTTTCATTATTTTTAATAACAAAAAAAATCCTGACAAACAAAGCATTAATACGTGTAATGCATGTTATTCTGAAGGCTGGAAAGGTTAAATAATAATTGAACAATATAATTAACATAATGGATTGCAATGCTTGGCTTGTCAGGGTTGGGCCGTGCTATAAACACGTTTGTTGAGTAGGAATTTCAATTAATTTAACCGTTGTTGCTTTTATTTAACAAATATAAATCACTATTTATGATGGAAAATAACCAAATGGTTCCTAATTGGACAACATAGTAAAGTATGTATTCTGATATTCGAATAAATAAGGTTTATCACAGACACTAATGAATCCTGGGCTGAAATGTTGATACAATTGTTTTTCTATTAAATATGAATGTTCAATATAAGATTTTAATAAAATGTTAAAGCCCTTTGGTGTAAGAATCAGAGTCCAGATCACAATCAAATTTAGATAAGATCATTTAACTAGGCCATTATATGTTTGATAAAATACATATTTTAAAAAAATTATTCAGTAGTCTTGTTGGCAGAGCATACACATACACCATTACAGAAACTTGAATAGCCTGGCAGGTGCTAGGACAAGGGTATAAACCATAGTCAAAAGCACTTTTATTGTTACTTTTAAGTTGCTATGCATCATGTGATTCAATGGTAGTTTATAAGGGATACGACCTTGTCATAACTATCATTAATACATAAATAATGTATATATCATTTAACATAACGTATTTAACGAAGATAGCTAATAGTGAATCATATTTACATAACAATTAAATGATAATGAATAATGTTTATTATAAATACTATAATTAGCTTTTTAAAGAGGGAATTTCTGTACTAATTACTTATGTACAAGATTAAATATCTGTGAATTATTATTCCCAAAGGATTTGTAAACCTTGAGAACAACATTTGTATTAAACATCTAAAATAATAACATAGATAGATGGATCAAATTTGTAACAATTTGTAACATAATTGACCCGAAAATGGCTAATAAATTACTTGTAAAGAACCATTATCAAGATAGATAGCTAGAAATGTGTAAATTGTTAATAATTGGTGTATTTTCCATCTATTTTTATAGATGTTTTACAAACATTTTCATACAAATCATTAATAAGCTCTTAATGAAAGTGATTTTTAAGGATATACTTTTACGTTTCTGTTGAATTGCATTTAGTTAAATATAGTGGTGTTTCTTAAATGTTGCATCCTAATAGATATAAATGGGAGCAACAACATATTACAAATACCTTAAACTATAACCTCAAACTGGTCATTCAGTTGAATAACCCGTCTTTAAGCATGAAACATGTGATGGTAGGATTAATTGTGGAGCTGTTTTGACAATTAACAGTGTAAATTAGAAGGACACATTTTGCATATTAAAATATATATATATTTCTCTTTTATTTCACAGGAACGGGAAAAAGAGAAGATGATTCTTCTTATATTCCTTCTCTTATGTGCAGGTATTTATTTGAATGTATGTGTGTTTGTGTGTGTGAGAAAGAGAGAAAGAGGGGAGGGAAGTGGGGGAAGATTAAGGGACAATTTAATTTAATTTAAATGTAATATTACTTCGGACGGAATTAAGTTGGATCATTGTGACATTTTCTTTACAGAAGAGGTGAGAACAACGTCGGCCTCAACCACTAGTGCAACAACAGGTAACATTATGATACTTCTGTACATTCTTTTAAGACAACAGCAATGAATGAGCACACAATATGTGCTGGTATGGCAGGTATCCTTATTGACCAATCATCAAGTTGTAAAATATTGAGTTAATAACTTAGCCATAGGCTTTGATTATTAAACATGTTATATGACTTCTAATAAAAGATTTAGGTTGATCTGCCGAATAAAGGTTTTTTATTCCTTGTACATTTGATTGTATCAGTGATTTATAAGGATCAACCAGGGATCAACCCTAAAGCAACCTTTGGAGGAATAAAAAAGCAGGACTGGACTTCTACAACAATTGAACAATTTATTATCATGTGTTACTTGAATTTTTCTCATGAACATTTTCTTTTGCAGTTGACTCAACCACATTACCGGTCAACCTAACATCCACACCAGGCAATGGAACCTCAAATCCACCAATCACCACAATGTCTCCAGGTAAAGCAACTTGTCCCTCAAACACAAATAACAGTGCCATTTAATTGTATTTCATACAACCTTACCTTCACCTTACCTTACAGTGAATGCCACTTCGCCAATCAACATGACTTCACCACCAATCAATGTGACGTCACTACCAGTCAACATGACTTCCCCAACAGTCAATCCAACCTCTCCAACTGTCAACATGACGTCACCACCACTAAATATGACTTCCACACACTTCAACATGACCTCAACAGTCAACCCAACCTCAAAACCAGTCAACATGACTTCTTCACCACCAGTCAACATTACTTCAACACCAGGTAATATGACCTCACCAGTAAACCCCACCTCAATAGAAGTCAATTTGACATCACCACTTCCCAACATTACTTCACCACCAGTCAATATGGCATCAACAGTCAACATTACTTCAACACCAGTCAATCCCACCTCATCACAAATCAACATGACAGCACCAGTCAACATTACTTCACCATCAGGAAACTTTACTTTACCACCATTCAACATGACATCACCAGTCAACCCGACCTCATCACCAGTCAACATGACATCACCACTTCTCAACATTACTTCACCACCAGTAAACTTTACTTCACCACCAGAAAATATGGCATCACCGTTCAACCGCACCTCATCACCAGTCAACATGACGTCACCACCACACAACATCACCTCACTTCCAGTAAACTTCACCACATCACCATTCAATCCCCACTCATCACCAGTCAACATGACATCAACACTTCCAAACATTACTTCACCACCAGTCAACATGACATCACCAGTCAACCCCACCTCATCACCAGTCAACATGACATCACCACCACCACACAACATCACCTCACTTCCAGCAAACTTCACCTCATCACCAGTCAACATGACATCAACACTTCCAAACATTACTTCACCAGCAGTCAACATGACATCACCAGTCAACCCCACCTCATCACCAGTCAACATGACTTCATCACCAGCAGTTGACATTACTTCAGCCCCAGGTAATATGACCTCGCCAGTAAACCCCACCTCAATAGAAGTCAACTTGACATCACCACTTCCCAATATTACTTCACCACCAGTCAATATGGCATCAACAGTCAACATTACTTCAACACCAGTCAATCCCACCTCATCACAAATCAACATGACAGCACCAGTCAACATTACTTCACCATCAGGCAACTTTACTTTACCACCATTCAACATGACATCACCAGTCAACCCCACCTCATCATCAGTAAACTTGACATCACCACCAGTCAATAGTACATCACCAGTTAACCCAACTTCACCATCTGTCAGCATGACATCACCACCAGTCAACATGACATCACCAGTCAACCCAATCTCACCATCAGGCAACTTTACTTTACCACCATTCAACATGACATCACCAGTCAACCCCACCTCATCACCAGTCAACATGACATCACCACTTCCCAACATGACATCACAACCAGTCAACATGACATCACCAGCCAACCCCATCTCACAATCAGTCAACATTACTTCACCATCAGTCAACCCAACCTCACCATCAGTCAACATTACTTCACCATCAGTCAACCCAACTTCACCATCAGTAAACATGACATCACAACCAGTCAACATGACATCACCAGCCAACCCCATCTCACAATCAGTCAACATTACTTCACCATCAGTCAACCCAACCTCACCATCAGTCAACATTACTTCACCATCAGTCAACCCAACTTCACAACCAGTCAACATGACATCACCAGCCAACCCCATCTCACAATCAGTCAACATTACTTCACCATCAGTCAACCCAACCTCACCATCAGTCAACATTACTTCTTCAGTCAAACATCAGTCAACCCACTTCACCATCAGTAAACATGACATCACCACCAGTCAATATTACATCACCAGTCAACCCAACCTCATCATCAGTCAACATGACTTCACCACCAGTCAACATGACATCATCACCAGTCAACATGACATCCCCACCAGTCAACATGACATCCCCACCAGTCAACATGACATCACCATTCAACCCAACCTCACCATCAGTAAACATGACATCACCAGTCAACCCAACCTCACCATCAGTCAACATTACTTCACCATCAGTCAACCCAACTTCACCATCAGTAAACATGACATCACCAGTCAACCTTACATCACCAGTCAACCCAACATCACCAACAGTCAACATTACTTCACCACCAGTCAACCCAACTTCACCATCAGTAAACATGACATCAACATCAGCCAACATTACTTCACCATCAGTCAACATTACATCACCAGTCAACCCAACATCACCACCAGTCAATATTACATCACCAGTCAAACCAACCTCACCATCAGTCAACATTACTTCACCATCAGTCAACCCAACTTCACCATCTGTTAGCATGACATCACCACCAGCCAACCTTACATCACCAGTCAACCCAACCTCCCCATCAGTCAACATTACTTCACCATCAGTCAACCCAACTTCATCTACAACTACAACCTCAACACCTACCACAACAGAGCCAAAAATCAAGTTGGGATTTAAGTTGAAAGAAACTTTTACTCCTCAACTTGCAAACAAATCTTCACCAGCGTTCCTTGAACTAAAGAACAAAGTGACCACAGCGGTAAGTTCATATTATATATTTCTTCTGTTTTTGCGTCTTACACTATCCTTTGCTACTCAAGAACATTTATTAAAAAACACTCATTTCAAATGATTCTTTTCTTATTTCATCTTTATTCTTAAATGTTTGAATGTTTTTCAACCAAATTCATTCACAGCTCGACATGGTCTATTCAGAACAATATGGATCCAGCTTCAATCGTACTGTCATCAACAGCTTCAGGTATAAAACAATTGCTTGCCATTACATTTGTAAAATGGCTGTTCTACTTGTTTGCTAACATATACAATAGGACAATAAGGAATCAAAAATGACTTTTCAAAATATTTGTGTTACAGTCAAGGATCCGTTGAGGTAGATGCTGAACTGATATTCAATGAAGGGAATACATTACCAAATACCACTTCTGCAGCTGGAACTTTGGTGACTGCCTCTTCCAGCTCCAATTTTTCTCTCAGTGTCAACACATCTTCTATTTCTGCAGCAGGTAAGACTTGCTGTATCTTCCAACTGTCAAGTTTGATTATTGGGAGGACATACTGACTATCTTGTGACAAGAATATGTTTATCAAAACCACACAATAACGTATTTGAACATTTGTATTTGTATTTGTAGTTGTTTTGGCTGCAACTCCAGCCCCAACCACAGTTGCCCCTTCAACACCACTTGTCAACATCACCTCACCTCCAGTCAACATGACTTCATCACCAGTCAACCCAACATCACCACCAGTCAACCGGACATCATCACCAGTCAACATGACATCCCCACCAGTCAACATTACATCACCATTCAACCCAACCTCACCATCAGTAAACATGACATCACCAGTCAACCCAACCTCACCATCAGTCAACATTACTTCACCATCAGTCAACCCAACTTCACCATCAGTAAACATGACATCACCAGTCAACCTTACATCACCAGTCAACCCAACATCACCAACAGTCAACATTACTTCACCACCAGTCAACCCAACTTCACCATCAGTTAAGATGACTTCAACACCAGCCAATATTACATCATCAGTCAACCCAACCTCATCACCAGTCAACATTACATCCCCAGTTAACCCAACTTCACCATCTGTCAGCATGACATCACCACCAGTCAACTTTACATCACCAGTCAACCTTACATCACCAGTCAACCCAACCTCACCATCAGTCAACCCAACTTCACCATCAGTAAAGATGACATCACCACCAGTCAATATTACATCACCAGTCAACCCAACCTCATCATCAGTCAACATGACTTCACCACCAGTTACAACAATGCCCTTGCCTGGTAATACATGCTCTCCACAATGGATATACTATATTTTGTATTAACTTAATGATTATTATACCACTAGTCCATAATTAATTATATGTTTTCATTTTATTTAAATGTGAGATACACATTACATTACATTACATTGCATTTAGCTGACGCTTTTGTCCAAAGCGACTTACAATAAGTACATTCGACCAGGAAGACACAACCTTGAAGAAAACAGAATCATATAAGTATATCAGGTTTCATAGAGCCAAACATTTCAAGTGCTACTCAACTGGCTTTAGGTAATCCAGTCCTTTATTAGTATAAAAGTGCTTCGTTAATCGTTCTAACGCTCGAAGTGGAGTCGAAAGAGATGAGTTTTCAGTTTGCGCCGGAAGATGTGCAAGCTATCTGCCGTCCTGATGTCAATGGGGAGCTCATTCCACCATCTTGGAGCCAGGATAGCAAACCCACGTGTTTTCGCCGATGGGAACTTGGGTCCCCCTCGCAGCGAGGGCGCAACGAGTCGTTTGGCTGATGCAGAGCGTAGTGCACGCGCTGGGGTGTACGGTTTAACCATGTCCTGGATGTAGGAAGGGCCAGATCCATTCGCAGCACGGTAAGCAAGTACCAGTGTCTTGAAGTGGATTCTAGCAGTTACCGGAAGCCAGTGAAGGGAGCGGAGGAGCGGAGTGGTGTGGGAGAATTTAGGAAGGTTGAAAAACCAGACGAGCCGCTGCATTCTGGATGAGCTGCAGAGGTCGGATGGCACATGCAGGTAGACCAGCCAGGAGGGAGTTGCAGTAGTCTAGGCGTGAGATGACGAGAGCCTGGACCAGAACCTGAGTCGCTTTCTGAGTCAGCTGGGGACGTATCTTCCTGATGTTGTAAAGCGTGTATCTGCAGCAGCGGGTTGTAGCAGCGATGTTTGCAGTGAAGGACAGGTTGTTATCTAGGGTCACACCCAGATTCCTTGCAGTCTGAGTCGGGGAAACAACTGAGGTGCCGATGTTGATTGTCAGGTCAAGAGTTGGACAATCTTTTCCCGGGAGGAAGAGCAGCTCAGTCTTGTCAAGGTTGAGCTTGAGGTGGTGAGCAGACATCCACTGAGAGATGTCAGCTAGACAAGCAGAGATGCGTGCGACGACCTGGGTCTCTGAGCGGGGAAAGGACAGAATTAATTGGGTGTCGTCAGCGTAGCAGTGGTAAGAAAAACCATGCGGGCTAATGACTGATCCGAGCGAGTTTGTGTACAAGGAGAAGAGGAGGGGACCAAGAACAGAGCCCTGAGGGACCCCCGTAGTTAATTGACAAGGGTCGGACTCAGACCCTCTCCAAGTCACCCTGTAGGTACGGTCTTTCAGGTATGAGGTGAGGAGGGAAAGTGCAGAGCCAGAAACTCCAAGTTTTTGGAGAGTGCGAAGGAGGATCTGATGATTCACCGTGTCGAATGCAGCAGACAGGTCCAACAGGATGATGACAGAGGAGAGGGATGCAGTTTTGGCAGTGTGCAGTTCCTCCGTGACAGCAATGAGAGCAGTTTCTGTGGAGTGACCTGCCTTGAAACCAGAGTGGTGCGGATCCAGAAGGTTGTTCTGATTGAGATAACAGGAGAGTTGTTTAAAGACAGCGCGTTCAAGTGATTTAGACAGGAACGGGAGGAGAGAGACAGGCCTGTAGTTTATAACATCAGACGGGTTGAGAGTGGGTTTCTTTAGGAGAGGGTTTACTCTTGCCTCCTTGAGACTGTTTGGAAAGTGACCAGAAGTTAGAGAAGTGTTGATGAAATGGGTGAGAAACGGTAGAATATCAGGAGCGATAGTCTGAAGGAGGTTTGAAGGGATAGGGTCCAGAGGACAGGTGGTAGGGCGGGCAGAGGTGATGAGGGTAAGAACCTCACTTGGAGAGAGAGGGGAAAAGGAGGTTAGTGTGTTGGTGGAAGGAAGGTCTGGTGACCCAGCGGTGAGTAAAGGTGAGTCAGAAAAAGAAGAGCGAATATCATTAACCTTTTTTTCAAAGTGGGTAACAAAGTCGCTTGACAGAAGTGAGGAGGGGGGAGGAGCTTTTGGAGGGTCCAAGAGGGTGGAGAAGATGGAAAATAGTTTTTTAGGATTGGAATAGGAAGATTGGATCTTATCTTGAAAGAAAGTGCTTTTTGCCTGAGAGATCGAAGCAGAGAAAGAGGAGAGGAGAGCTTGATAGGTTAGGAGGTCGTCACGGTGTTTGGATTTCCACCATTTCCGCTCTGCTGCCCTAAGGACGGTTCTATTAGCACGCAGTGCATCATTTAGCCAGGGAGCCGGAGGGGACTGACGAGCCTGCCGAGATGTCAGAGGACAGAGCGAGTCCAGAGTGGATGAGAGAGTAGAGAGGAGAGTTTCTGCAGCAGAGTTTGGAGGCAGTAGTTGGAACGAATCAGAGGAAGGGAGGGCTGAGAGCACCGACGAGGCAAAGGTAGAGGGAGAGAGGGAGCGAAGGTTACGGCGGACAAGTGTAGGATGGGAAGAGATTAGTTTGTTATGTTTGGAAAGGGATAGAGAGAATGAAATGAAGAAGTGATCGGATGTGTGGAGCGGGTTTACAGAGAGGTTAGAAGTAGCGCAGTTCCTTGAGAATATGAGATCAAGGACATTGCCAGCTTTATGAGTCGGTGGGGACGGAGAGAGTGAGAAAGCAAAGGCGGTTAACAGAGATGTTAGTTCGTCTATCTTCCCCATCTGGAGGTTGAAGTCTCCGAGAAGTACAGCGGGAGGGCCAGTTTCAGGGATGTGTGAGAGGAGATGATCTAATTCCTCCAAGAAGTCCCCCAAGGCGCCTGGTGGACGGTAGAGAACAACAATGGTTAACTGTATAGGATGGGTTACTGTGACGGCATGGAACTCAAAGGTGGAAGGAGTAAAGTTAGGTAGCTTGAAGAGGGAAAAGCTCCATTTGGGAGAGAGCAGGAGACCAGTGCCACCTCCTCTGCCAGTGGGTCTGGGTGTATGGGAGAAGGAATATGCAGTGGAGAGAGCTGCTGGGGTGGATGTGTTGGATGGAGTAATCCAGGTCTCAGTGAGAGCAAGGAAATCCAGAGACTGCAGGGAGGTGTAGCCAGAGATGAAGTCAGCCTTAGGAACAGCTGACTGGCAGTTCCACAGGCCACCTGAAACTAGATGATGGATCTCAGTGGAGCACGTGGGATAGACGAGAGCAGGCCGGTTATATCGATTAGGAGATACACGGGGCCAGTGATAATTGCGAGAAGACACATGAACAGGAATGGATACACCAAACATGTAGCATCAGTCTTTTTCATTATTGGACCACTATCACTGGCTGACATGTATATATAGTAAAGCAACCTTTTTTGGTGTAATGTTATATTTATTTCCAATAAATATTTCCTTATTTCAAGGTAATGCAAGCACTCCGCCTGTCACTGGAACATCAGCACCACCAAGCATCACAACTACTAGCTCTCCAACTACAACTACAACCTCAACACCTACCACAACAGAGCCAAAAATCAAGTTGGGATTTAAGTTGAAAGAAACTTTTACTCCTCAACTTGCAAACAAATCTTCACCAGCGTTCCTTGAACTAAAGAACAAAGTGACCACAGCGGTAAGTTCATATTATATATTTCTTCTGTTTTTACGTCTTACACTATCCTTTGCTACTCAAGAACATTTATTAAAAAACACTAATTTCAAATGATTCTTTTCTTATATCATCTTTATTCTTAAATGTTTGAATGTTTTTCAACCAAATTCATTCACAGCTCGACATGGTCTATTCAGAACAATATGGATCCAGCTTCAATCGTACTGTCATCAACAGCTTCAGGTATAAAACAATTGCTTGCCATTACATTTGTAAAATGGCTGTTCTACTTGTTTGCTAACATATACAATAGGACAATAAGGAATCAAAAATGACTTTTCAAAATATTTGTGTTACAGTCAAGGATCCGTTGAGGTAGATGCTGAACTGATATTCAATGAAGGGAATACATTACCAAATACCACTTCTGCAGCTGGAACTTTGGTGACTGCCTCTTCCAGCTCCAATTTTTCTCTCAGTGTCAACACATGTTCTATTTCTGCAGCAGGTAAGACTTGCTGTATCTTCCAACCGTCAAGTTTGATTATTGGGAGGACATACTGACTATCTTGTGACAAGAATATGTTTATCAAAACCACACAATAACGTATTTGAACATTTGTATTTGTATTTGTAGTTGTTTTGGCTGCAACTCCAGCCCCAACCACAGTTGCCCCTTCAACACCACTTGTCAACATCACCTCACCTCCAGTCAACATGACTTCATCACCAGTCAACCCAACATCACCACCAGTCAACCGGACATCATCACCAGTCAACATGACATCATCACCAGTCAACATGACATCCCCACCAGTCAACATTACATCACCATCAGTAAACATGACATCACCAGTCAACCCAACCTCACCATCAGTCAACATTACTTCACCATCAGTCAACCCAACTCCACCATCAGTAAACATGACATCACCAGTCAACCTTACATCACCAGTCAACCCAACATCACCAACAGTCAACATTACTTCACCACCAGTCAACCCAACTTCACCATCAGTAAACATGACATCAACACCAGCCAACATTACTTCACCATCAGTCAACATTACATCACCAGTCAACCCAACATCACCACCAGTCAATATTACATCACCAGTCAAACCAACCTCACCATCAGTCAACATTACTTCACCATCAGTCAACCCAACTTCACCATCTGTTAGCATGACATCACCACCAGTCAACCTTACATCACCAGTCAAACCAACCTCACCATCAGTCAACATTACTTCACCATCAGTCAACCCAACTTCACCATCAGTTAACATGACATCAACACCATCCAATATTACATCACCAGTCAACCCAACCTCATCACCAGTCAACATTACATCCCCAGTTCACCCAACTTCACCATCTGTCAGCATGACATCACCACCAGTCAACCTTACATCACCAGTCAACCCAACCTCATCATCAGTCAACATGACTTCACCACCAGTTACAACAATGCCCTTGCCTGGTAATACATGCTCTCCACAATGGATATACTATATTTTGTATTAACTTAATGATTATTATACCACTAGTCCATAATTAATTATATGTTTTCATTTTATTTAAATGTGAGATACACCAAACATGTAGCATCAGTCTTTTTCATTATTGGACCACTATCACTGGCTGAAATGTATATATAGTAAAGCAACCTGTTATGGTGTAATGTTATATTTATTTCCAATAAATATTTCCTTATTTCAAGGTAATGCAAGCACTCCGCCTGTCACTGGAACATCAGCACCACCAAGCATCACAACTACTAGCTCTCCAACTGCAACTACAACCTCAACACCTACCACAACAGAGCCAAAAATCAAGTTGGGATTTAAGTTGAAAGAAACTTTTACTCCTCAACTTGCAAACAAATCTTCACCAGCGTTCCTTGAACTAAAGAACAAAGTGACCACAGCGGTAAGTTCATATTATATATTTCTTCTGTTTTTGCGTCTTACACTATCCTTTGCTACTCAAGAACATTTATTAAAAAACACTCATTTCAAATGATTATTTTCTTATTTCATCTTTATTCTTAAATGTTTGAATGTTTTTTAACCAAATTCATTCACAGCTCGACATGGTCTATTCAGAACAATATGGATCCAGCTTCAATCGTACTGTCATCAACAGCTTCAGGTATAAAACAATTGCTTGCCATTACATTTGTAAAATGGCTGTTCTACTTGTTTGCTAACATATACAATAGGACAATAAGGAATCAAAAATGACTTTTCAAAATATTTGTGTTACAGTCAAGGATCCGTTGAGGTAGATGCTGAACTGATATTCAATGAAGGGAATACATTACCAAATACCACTTCTGCAGCTGGAACTTTGGTGACTGCCTCTTCCAGCTCCAATTTTTCTCTCAGTGTCAACACATCTTCTATTTCTGCAGCAGGTAAGACTTGCTGTATCTTCCAACTGTCAAGTTTGATTATTGGGAGGACATACTGACTATCTTGTGACAAGAATATGTTTATCAAAACCACACAATAACGTATTTGAACATTTGTATTTGTATTTGTAGTTGTTTTGGCTGCAACTCCAGCCCCAACCACAGTTAGCCCTTCAACACCACTTGTCAACATCACCTCACCTCCAGTCAACATGACTTCATCACCAGTCAACCCAACATCACCACCAGTCAACTGGACATCATCACCAGTCAACATCACATCCCCACCAGTCAACATTACATCACCAGTCAACCCAACATCACCATCAGTAAAGATGACATCAACACCAGTCAACCGGACATCATCACCAGTCAACATGACATCATCACCAGTCGACATGACATCCCCACCAGTCAACATTACATCACCATTCAACCCAACCTCACCATCAGTAAACATGACATCACCAGTCAACCCAACCTCACCATCAGTCAACATTACTTCACCATCAGTCAACCCAACTTCACCATCAGTAAACATGACATCAACACCAGCCAACATTACTTCACCATCAGTCAATATTACATCACCAGTCAACCCAACATCACCACCAGTCAATATTACATCACCAGTCAAACCAACCTCACCATCAGTCAACATTACTTCACCATCAGTCAAACCAACTTCACCATCTGTTAGCATGACATCACCACCAGTCAACCTTACATCACCAGTCAAACCAACCTCACCATCAGTCAACATTACTTCACCATCAGTCAACCCAACTTCACCATCAGTTAACATGACATCAACACCATCCAATATTACATCACCAGTCAACCCAACCTCATCACCAGTCAACATTACATCCCCAGTTAACCCAACTTCACCATCTGTCAGCATGACATCACCACCAGTCAACCTTACATCACCAGTCAACCCAACCTCACCATCAGTCAACATTACTTCACCATCAGTCAACCCAACTTCACCATCTGTCAGCATGACATCACCACCAGTCAATATTACATCACCAGTCAAACCCAACCTCATCATCAGCCAACATGACTTCACCACCAGTTACAACAATGCCCTTGCCTGGTAATACATGCTCTCCACCATGGATATACTATATTCTGTATTAACTTAATGATTATTATACCACTAGTCCATAATTAATTATATGTTTTCATTTTATTTAAATGTGAGCTACACCAAAGATGTAGCATCAGTCTTTTCATTATTGGACCACTATCACTGGCTGAAATGTATATATGTATACATCTCTTTCGACTCCACTTCGAGCGTTAGAACTATTAACGAAGCACTTTTATACTAATAAAGGACTGGCTTACCTAAAGCCAATGGAGTAGCACTTGAAAACGTTTGGCTCTATGAAACCTGATGTACTTATATGATTCTGTTTTCTTCAAGGTTGTGTCTTCCTGGTCGAATGTACTTATTGTAAGTCGCTTTGGATAAAAGCGTCAGCTAAATGCAATGTAATGTAATGTAATGTAATATATAGTAAAGCAACCTTTTTTGGTGTAATGTTATATTTATTTCCAATAAATATTTCCTTATTTCAAGGTAATGCAAGCACTCCGCCTGTCACTGGAACATCAGCACCACCAAGTATCACAACTACTAGCTCTCCAACTACAACTACAACCTCAACACCTACCACAACAGAGCCAAAAATCAAGTTGGGATTTAAGTTGAAAGAAACTTTTACTCCTCAACTTGCAAACAAATCTTCACCAGCGTTCCTTGAACTAAAGAACAAAGTGACCACAGCGGTAAGTTCATATTATATATTTCTTCTGTTTTTGCGTCTTACACTATCCTTTGCTACTCAAGAACATTTATTAAAAAACACTCATTTCAAATGATTCTTTTCTTATTTCATCTTTATTCTTAAATGTTTGAATGTTTTTCAACCAAATTCATTCACAGCTCGACATGGTCTATTCAGAACAATATGGATCCAGCTTCAATCGTACTGTCATCAACAGCTTCAGGTATAAAACAATTGCTTGCCATTACATTTGTAAAATGGCTGTTCTACTTGTTTGCTAACATATACAATAGGACAATAAGGAATCAAAAATGACTTTTCAAAATATTTGTGTTACAGTCAAGGATCCGTTGAGGTAGATGCTGAACTGATATTCAATGAAGGGAATACATTACCAAATACCACTTCTGCAGCTGGAACTTTGGTGACTGCCTCTTCCAGCTCCAATTTTTCTCTCAGTGTCAACACATGTTCTATTTCTGCAGCAGGTAAGACTTGCTGTATCTTCCAACTGTCAAGTTTGATTATTGGGAGGACATACTGACTATCTTGTGACAAGAATATGTTTATCAAAACCACACAATAACGTATTTGAACATTTGTATTTGTATTTGTAGTTGTTTTGGCTGCAACTCCAGCCCCAACCACAGTTGCCCCTTCAACACCACTTGTCAACATCACCTCACCTCCAGTCAACATGACTTCATCACCAGTCAACCCAACATCACCACCAGTCAACTGGACATCATCACCAGTCAACATCACATCCCCACCAGTCAACATTACATCACCAGTCAACCCAACATCACCATCAGTAAAGATGACATCAACACCAGTCAACCGGACATCATCACCAGTCAACATGACATCATCACCAGTCGACATGACATCCCCACCAGTCAACATTACATCACCATTCAACCCAACCTCACCATCAGTAAACATGACATCACCAGTCAACCCAACCTCACCATCAGTCAACATTACTTCACCATCAGTCAACCCAACTTCACCATCAGTTAACATGACATCAACACCATCCAATATTACATCACCAGTCAACCCACCTCATCACCAGTCAACATTACATCCCCAGTTAACCCAACTTCACCATCTGTCAGCATGACATCACCACCAGTCAACCTTACATCACCAGTCAACCCAACCTCACCATCAGTCAACATTACTTCACCATCAGTCAACCCAACTTCACCATCTGTCAGCATGACATCACCACCAGTCAATATTACATCACCAGTCAACCCAACCTCATCATCAGCCAACATGACTTCACCACCAGTTACAACAATGCCCTTGCCTGGTAATACATGCTCTCCACCATGGATATACTATATTCTGTATTAACTTAATGATTATTATACCACTAGTCCATAATTAATTATATGTTTTCATTTTATTTAAATGTGAGCTACACCAAAGATGTAGCATCAGTCTTTTTCATTATTGGACCACTATCACTGGCTGAAATGTATATATGTATACATCTCTTTCGACTCCACTTCGAGCGTTAGAACTATTAACGAAGCACTTTTATACTAATAAAGGACTGGCTTACCTAAAGCCAATGGAGTAGCACTTGAAACGTTTGGCTCTATGAAACCTGATGTACTTATATGATTCTGTTTTCTTCAAGGTTGTGTCTTCCTGGTCGAATGTACTTATTGTAAGTCGCTTTGGATAAAAGCGTCAGCTAAATGCAATGTAATGTAATGTAATGTAATATATAGTAAAGCAACCTTTTTTGGTGTAATGTTATATTTATTTCCAATAAATATTTCCTTATTTCAAGGTAATGCAAGCACTCCGCCTGTCACTGGAACATCAGCACCACCAAGTATCACAACTACTAGCTCTCCAACTACAACTACAACCTCAACACCTACCACAACAGAGCCAAAAATCAAGTTGGGATTTAAGTTGAAAGAAACTTTTACTCCTCAACTTGCAAACAAATCTTCACCAGCGTTCCTTGAACTAAAGAACAAAGTGACCACAGCGGTAAGTTCATATTATATATTTCTTCTGTTTTTGCGTCTTACACTATCCTTTGCTACTCAAGAACATTTATTAAAAAACACTAATTTCAAATGATTCTTTTCTTATATTCATCTTTATTCTTAAATGTTTGAATGTTTTTCAACCAAATTCATTCACAGCTCGACATGGTCTATTCAGAACAATATGGATCCAGCTTCAATCGTACTGTCATCAACAGCTTCAGGTATAACACAATTGCTTGCCATTACATTTGTAAAATGGCTATTCTACTTGTTTGCTAACATATACAATAGGACAATAAGGAATCAAAAATGACTTTTCAAAATATTTGTGTTACAGTCAAGGATCCGTTGAGGTAGATGCTGAACTGATATTCAATGAAGGGAATACATTACCAAATACCACTTCTGCAGCTGGAACTTTGGTGACTGCCTCTTCCAGCTCCAATTTTTCTCTCAGTGTCAACACATGTTCTATTTCTGCAGCAGGTAAGGCTTGCTGTATCTTCCAACTGTCAAGTTTGATTATTGGGAGGACATACTGACTATCTTGTGACAAGAATATGTTTATCAAAACCACACAATAACGTATTTGAACATTTGTATTTGTATTTGTAGTTGTTTTGGCTGCAACTCCAGCCCCAACCACAGTTGCCCCTTCAACACCACTTGTCAACATCACCTCACCTCCAGTCAACATGACTTCATCACCAGTCAACCCAACATCACCACCAGTCAACCCAACATCACCACCAGTCAACCCAACATCACCACCAGTCAACCGGACATCATCACCAGTCAACATGACATCATCACCAGTCAACATGACATCCCCACCAGTCAACATTACATCACCATTCAACCCAACCTCACCATCAGTAAACATGACATCACCAGTCAACCCAACCTCACCATCAGTCAACATTACTTCACCATCAGTCAACCCAACTCCACCATCAGTAAAGTTGACATCACCAGTCAACCTTACATCACCAGTCAACCCAACATCACCAACAGTCAACATTACTTCACCACCAGTCAACCCAACTTCACCATCAGTAAACATGACATCAACACCAGCCAACATTACTTCACCATCAGTCAACATTACATCACCAGTCAACCCAACATCACCACCAGTCAATATTACATCACCAGTCAAACCAACCTCACCATCAGTCAACATTACTTCACCATCAGTCAACCCAACTTCACCATCTGTCAGCATGACATCACCACCAGTCAACCTTACATCACCAGTCAAACCAACCTCACCATCAGTCAACATTACTTCACCATCAGTCAACCCAACTTCACCATCAGTTAACATGACATCAACACCATCCAATATTACATCACCAGTCAACCCAACCTCATCACCAGTCAACATTACATCCCCAGTTCACCCAACTTCACCATCTGTCGGCATGACATCACCACCAGTCAACCTTACATCACCAGTCAACCCAACCTCATCATCAGTCAACATGACTTCACCACCAGTTACAACAATGCCCTTGCCTGGTAATACATGCTCTCCACAATGGATATACTATATTTTGTATTAACTTAATGATTATTATACCACTAGTCCATAATTAATTATATGTTTTCATTTTATTTAAATGTGAGATACACCAAACATGTAGCATCAGTCTTTTTCATTATTGGACCACTATCACTGGCTGAAATGTATATATAGTAAAGCAACCTGTTATGGTGTAATGTTATATTTATTTCCAATAAATATTTCCTTATTTCAAGGTAATGCAAGCACTCCGCCTGTCACTGGAACATCAGCACCACCAAGCATCACAACTACTAGCTCTCCAACTGCAACTACAACCTCAACACCTACCACAACAGAGCCAAAAATCAAGTTGGGATTTAAGTTGAAAGAAACTTTTACTCCTCAACTTGCAAACAAATCTTCACCAGCGTTCCTTGAACTAAAGAACAAAGTGACCACAGCGGTAAGTTCATATTATATATTTCTTCTGTTTTTGCGTCTTACACTATCCTTTGCTACTCAAGAACATTTATTAAAAAACGCTAATTTCAAATGATTCTTTTCTTATATCATCTTTATTCTTAAATGTTTGAATGTTTTTCAACCAAATTCATTCACAGCTCGACATGGTCTATTCAGAACAATATGGATCCAGCTTCAATCGTACTGTCATCAACAGCTTCAGGTATAAAACAATTGCTTGCCATTACATTTGTAAAATGGCTGTTCTACTTGTTTGCTAACATATACAATAGGACAATAAGGAATCAAAAATGACTTTTCAAAATATTTGTGTTACAGTCAAGGATCCGTTGAGGTAGATGCTGAACTGATATTCAATGAAGGGAATACATTACCAAATACCACTTCTGCAGCTGGAACTTTGGTGACTGCCTCTTCCAGCTCCAATTTTTCTCTCAGTGTCAACACATCTTCTATTTCTGCAGCAGGTAAGACTTGCTGTATCTCCCAACTGTCAAGTTTGATTATTGGGAGGACATACTGACTATCTTGTGACAAGAATATGTTTATCAAAACCACACAATAACGTATTTGAACATTTGTATTTGTATTTGTAGTTGTTTTGGCTGCAACTCCAGCCCCAACCACAGTTGCCCCTTCAACACCACTTGTCAACATCACCTCACCTCCAGTCAACATGACTTCATCACCAGTCAACCCAACATCACCACCAGTCAACCGGACATCATCACCAGTCAACATGACATCATCACCAGTCAACATGACATCACCACCAGTCAACATTACATCACCATTCAACCCAACCTCACCATCAGTAAACATGACATCACCAGTCAACCCAACCTCACCATCAGTCAACATTACTTCACCATCAGTCAACCCAACTTCACCATCAGTAAACATGACATCACCAGTCAACCTTACATCACCAGTCAACCCAACATCACCAACAGTCAACATTACTTCACCACCAGTCAACCCAACTTCACCATCAGTTAAGATGACATCAACACCAGCCAATATTACATCATCAGTCAACCCAACCTCATCACCAGTCAACATTACATCCCCATTTAACCCAACTTCACCATCTGTCAGTATGACATCACCACCAGTCAACCTTACATCACCAGTCAACCTTACATCACCAGTCAACCCAACCTCACCATCAGTCAACCCAACTTCACCATCAGTAAAGATGACATCACCACCAGTCAATATTACATCACCAGTCAACCCAACCTCATCATCAGTCAACATGACTTCACCACCAGTTACAACAATGCCCTTGCCTGGTAATACATGCTCTCCACAATGGATATACTATATTTTGTATTAACTTAATGATTATTATACCACTAGTCCATAATTAATTATATGTTTTCATTTTATTTAAATGTGAGATACACCAAACATGTAGCATCAGTCTTTTTCATTATTGGACCACTATCACTGGCTGAAATGTATATATAGTAAAGCAACCTTTTTTGGTGTAATGTTATATTTATTTCCAATAAATATTTCCTTATTTCAAGGTAATGCAAGCACTCCGCCTGTCACTGGAACATCAGCACCACCAAGCATCACAACTACTAGCTCTCCAACTACAACTACAACCTCAACACCTACCACAACAGAGCCAAAAATCAAGTTGGGATTTAAGTTGAAACAAACTTTTACTCCTCAACTTGCAAACAAATCTTCACCAGCGTTCCTTGAACTAAAGAACAAAGTGACCACAGCGGTAAGTTCATATTATATATTTCTTCTGTTTTTACGTCTTACACTATCCTTTGCTACTCAAGAACATTTATTAAAAAACACTAATTTCAAATGATTCTTTTCTTATATCATCTTTATTCTTAAATGTTTGAATGTTTTTCAACCAAATTCATTCACAGCTCGACATGGTCTATTCAGAACAATATGGATCCAGCTTCAATCGTACTGTCATCAACAGCTTCAGGTATAAAACAATTGCTTGCCATTACATTTGTAAAATGGCTGTTCTACTTGTTTGCTAACATATACAATAGGACAATAAGGAATCAAAAATGACTTTTCAAAATATTTGTGTTACAGTCAAGGATCCGTTGAGGTAGATGCTGAACTGATATTCAATGAAGGGAATACATTACCAAATACCACTTCTGCAGCTGGAACTTTGGTGACTGCCTCTTCCAGCTCCAATTTTTCTCTCAGTGTCAACACATGTTCTATTTCTGCAGCAGGTAAGACTTGCTGTATCTTCCAACCGTCAAGTTTGATTATTGGGAGGACATACTGACTATCTTGTGACAAGAATATGTTTATCAAAACCACACAATAACGTATTTGAACATTTGTATTTGTATTTGTAGTTGTTTTGGCTGCAACTCCAGCCCCAACCACAGTTGCCCCTTCAACACCACTTGTCAACATCACCTCACCTCCAGTCAACATGACTTCATCACCAGTCAACCCAACATCACCACCAGTCAACCCAACATCACCACCAGTCAACCGGACATCATCACCAGTCAACATGACATCCCCACCAGTCAACATTACATCACCATTCAACCCAACCTCACCATCAGTAAACATGACATCACCAGTCAACCCAACCTCACCATCAGTCAACATTACTTCACCATCAGTCAACCCAACTCCACCATCAGTAAACATGACATCACCAGTCAACCTTACATCACCAGTCAACCCAACATCACCAACAGTCAACATTACTTCACCACCAGTCAACCCAACTTCACCATCAGTAAACATGACATCAACACCAGCCAACATTACTTCACCATCAGTCAACATTACATCACCAGTCAACCCAACATCACCACCAGTCAATATTACATCACCAGTCAAACCAACCTCACCATCAGTCAACATTACTTCACCATCAGTCAACCCAACTTCACCATCAGTTAACATGACATCAACACCATCCAATATTACATCACCAGTCAACCCAACCTCATCACCAGTCAACATTACATCCCCAGTTTACCCAACTTCACCATCTGTCAGCATGACATCACCACCAGTCAACCTTACATCACCAGTCAACATGACTTCACCACCAGTTACAACAATGCCCTTGCCTGGTAATACATGCTCTCCACAATGGATATACTATATTTTGTATTAACTTAATGATTATTATACCACTAGTCCATAATTAATTATATGTTTTCATTTTATTTAAATGTGAGATACACCAAACATGTAGCATCAGTCTTTTTCATTATTGGACCACTATCACTGGCTGAAATGTATATATAGTAAAGCAACCTGTTATGGTGTAATGTTATATTTATTTCCAATAAATATTTCCTTATTTCAAGGTAATGCAAGCACTCCGCCTGTCACTGGAACATCAGCACCACCAAGCATCACAACTACTAGCTCTCCAACTGCAACTACAACCTCAACACCTACCACAACAGAGCCAAAAATCAAGTTGGGATTTAAGTTGAAAGAAACTTTTACTCCTCAACTTGCAAACAAATCTTCACCAGCGTTCCTTGAACTAAAGAACAAAGTGACCACAGCGGTAAGTTCATATTATATATTTCTTCTGTTTTTGCGTCTTACACTATCCTTTGCTACTCAAGAACATTTATTAAAAAACACTCATTTCAAATGATTCTTTTCTTATTTCATCTTTATTCTTAAATGTTTGAATGTTTTTTAACCAAATTCATTCACAGCTCGACATGGTCTATTCAGAACAATATGGATCCAGCTTCAATCGTACTGTCATCAACAGCTTCAGGTATAAAACAATTGCTTGCCATTACATTTGTAAAATGGCTGTTCTACTTGTTTGCTAACATATACAATAGGACAATAAGGAATCAAAAATGACTTTTCAAAATATTTGTGTTACAGTCAAGGATCCGTTGAGGTAGATGCTGAACTGATATTCAATGAAGGGAATACATTACCAAATACCACTTCTGCAGCTGGAACTTTGGTGACTGCCTCTTCCAGCTCCAATTTTTCTCTCAGTGTCAACACATCTTCTATTTCTGCAGCAGGTAAGACTTGCTGTATCTTCCAACTGTCAAGTTTGATTATTGGGAGGACATACTGACTATCTTGTGACAAGAATATGTTTATCAAAACCACACAATAACGTATTTGAACATTTGTATTTGTATTTGTAGTTGTTTTGGCTGCAACTCCAGCCCCAACCACAGTTGCCCCTTCAACACCACTTGTCAACATCACCTCACCTCCAGTCAACATGACTTCATCACCAGTCAACCCAACATCACCACCAGTCAACTGGACATCATCACCAGTCAACATGACATCCCCACCAGTCAACATTACATCACCAGTCAACCCAACATCACCATCAGTAAAGATGACATCAACACCAGTCAACCGGACATCATCACCAGTCAACATGACATCATCACCAGTCAACATGACATCCCCACCAGTCAACATTACATCACCATTCAACCCAACCTCACCATCAGTAAACATGACATCACCAGTCAACCCAACATCACCAACAGTCAACATTACTTCACCACCAGTCAACCCAACTTCACCATCAGTAAACATGACATCAACACCAGCCAACATTACTTCACCATCAGTCAATATTACATCACCAGTCAACCCAACATCACCACCAGTCAATATTACATCACCAGTCAAACCAACCTCACCATCAGTCAACATTACTTCACCATCAGTCAAACCAACTTCACCATCTGTTAGCATGACATCACCACCAGTCAACCTTACATCACCAGTCAAACCAACCTCACCATCAGTCAACATTACTTCACCATCAGTCAACCCAACTTCACCATCAGTTAACATGACATCAACACCATCCAATATTACATCACCAGTCAACCCAACCTCATCACCAGTCAACATTACATCCCCAGTTAACCCAACTTCACCATCTGTCAGCATGACATCACCACCAGTCAACCTTACATCACCAGTCAACCCAACCTCACCATCAGTCAACATTACTTCACCATCAGTCAACCCAACTTCACCATCTGTCAGCATGACATCACCACCAGTCAATATTACATCACCAGTCAACCCAACCTCATCATCAGTCAACATGACTTCACCACCAGTTACAACAATGCCCTTGCCTGGTAATACATGCTCTCCACCATGGATATACTATATTCTGTATTAACTTAATGATTATTATACCACTAGTCCATAATTAATTATATGTTTTCATTTTATTTAAATGTGAGCTACACCAAAGATGTAGCATCAGTATTTTTCATTATTGGACCACTATCACTGGCTGAAATGTATATATGTATACATCTCTTTCGACTCCACTTCGAGCGTTAGAACTATTAACGAAGCACTTTTATACTAATAAAGGACTGGCTTACCTAAAGCCAATGGAGTAGCACTTGAAACGTTTGGCTCTATGAAACCTGATGTACTTATATGATTCTGTTTTCTTCAAGGTTGTGTCTTCCTGGTCGAATGTACTTATTGTAAGTCGCTTTGGATAAAAGCGTCAGCTAAATGCAATGTAATGTAATGTAATGTAATATATAGTAAAGCAACCTTTTTTGGTGTAATGTTATATTTATTTCCAATAAATATTTCCTTATTTCAAGGTAATGCAAGCACTCCGCCTGTCACTGGAACATCAGCACCACCAAGCATCACAACTACTAGCTCTCCAACTACAACTACAACCTCAACACCTACCACAACAGAGCCAAAAATCAAGTTGGGATTTAAGTTGAAAGAAACTTTTACTCCTCAACTTGCAAACAAATCTTCACCAGCGTTCCTTGAACTAAAGAACAAAGTGACAACAGCGGTAAGTTCATATTATATATTTCTTCTGTTTTTGCGTCTTACACTATCCTTTGCTACTCAAGAACATTTATTAAAAAACACTAATTTCAAATGATTCTTTTCTTATTTCATCTTTATTCTTAAATGTTTGAATGTTTTTCAACCAAATTCATTCACAGCTCGACATGGTCTATTCAGAACAATATGGATCCAGCTTCAATCGTACTGTCATCAACAGCTTCAGGTATAACACAATTGCTTGCCATTACATTTGTAAAATGGCTGTTCTACTTGTTTGCTAACATATACAATAGGACAATAAGGAATCAAAAATGACTTTTCAAAATATTTGTGTTACAGTCAAGGATCCGTTGAGGTAGATGCTGAACTGATATTCAATGAAGGGAATACATTACCAAATACCACTTCTGCAGCTGGAACTTTGGTGACTGCCTCTTCCAGCTCCAATTTTTCTCTCAGTGTCAACACATGTTCTATTTCTGCAGCAGGTAAGACTTGCTGTATCTTCCAACTGTCAAGTTTGATTATTGGGAGGACATACTGACTATCTTGTGACAAGAATATGTTTATCAAAACCACACAATAACGTATTTGAACATTTGTATTTGTAGTTGTTTTGGCTGCAACTCCAGCCCCAACCACAGTTGCCCCTTCAACACCACTTGTCAACATCACCTCACCTCCAGTCAACATGACTTCATCACCAGTCAACATGACATCATTACCAGTCAACATGACATCCCCACCAGTCAACATTACATCACCATTCAACCCAACCTCACCATCAGTAAACATGACATCACCAGTCAACCCAACCTCACCATCAGTCAACATTACTTCACCATCAGTCAACCCAACTTCACCATCAGTAAACATGACATCACCAGTCAACCCTTACATCACCAGTCAACCCAACATCACCAACAGTCAACATTACTTCACCACCAGTCAACCCAACTTCACCATCAGTTAAGATGACATCAACACCAGCCAATATTACATCATCAGTCAACCCAACCTCATCACCAGTCAACATTACATCCCCATTTAACCCAACTTCACCATCTGTCAGCATGACATCACCACCAGTCAACCTTACATCACCAGTCAACCTTACATCACCAGTCAACCCAACCTCACCATCAGTCAACCCAACTTCACCATCAGTAAAGATGACATCACCACCAGTCAATATTACATCACCAGTCAACCCAACCTCATCATCAGTCAACATGACTTCACCACCAGTTACAAACAATGCCCTTGCCTGGTAATACATGCTCTCCACAATGGATATACTATATTTTGTATTAACTTAATGATTATTATACCACTAGTCCATAATTAATATATGTTTTCATTTTATTTAAATGTGAGATACACCAAACATGTAGCATCAGTCTTTTTCATTATTGGACCACTATCACTGGCTGAAATGTATATATAGTAAAGCAACCTTTTTTGGTGTAATGTTATATTTATTTCCAATAAATATTTCCTTATTTCAAGGTAATGCAAGCACTCCGCCTGTCACTGGAACATCTGCACCACCAAGCATCACAACTACTAGCTCTCCAACTACAACTACAACCTCAACACCTACCACAACAGAGCCAAAAATCAAGTTGGGATTTAAGTTGAAAGAAACTTTTACTCCTCAACTTGCAAACAAATCTTCACCAGCGTTCCTTGAACTAAAGAACAAAGTGACCACAGCGGTAAGTTCATATTATATATTTCTTCTGTTTTTGCGTCTTACACTATCCTTTGCTACTCAAGAACATTTATTAAAAAACACTAATTTCAAATGATTCTTTTCTTATATCATCTTTATTCTTAAATGTTTGAATGTTTTTCAACCAAATTCATTCACAGCTCGACATGGTCTATTCAGAACAATATGGATCCAGCTTCAATCATACTGTCATCAACAGCTTCAGGTATAACACAATTGCTTGCCATTACATTTGTAAAATGGCTGTTCTACTTGTTTGCTAACATATACAATAGGACAATAAGGTATCAAAAATGACTTTTCAAAATATGTGTGTTACAGTCAAGGATCCGTTGAGGTAGATGCTGAACTGATATTCAATGAAGGGAATACATTACCAAATACCACTTCTGCAGCTGGAACTTTGGTGACTGCCTCTTCCAGCTCCAATTTTTCTCTCAGTGTCAACACATCTTCTATTTCTGCAGCAGGTAAGACTTGCTGTATCTTCCAACTGTCAAGTTTGATTATTGGGAGGACATACTGACTATCTTGTGACAAGAATATGTTTATCAAAACCACACAATAACGTATTTGAACATTTGTATTTGTATTTGTAGTTGTTTTGGCTGCAACTCCAGCCCCAACCACAGTTGCCCCTTCAACACCACTTGTCAACATCACCTCACCTCCAGTCAACATGACTTCATCACCAGTCAACCCAACATCACCACTAGTCAACCCAACATCACCACCAGTCAACCGGACATCATCACTAGTCAACATGACATCGTCACCAGTCAACATGACATCCCCACCAGTCAACATTACATCACCATTCAACCCAACCTCACCATCAGTAAACATGACATCACAAGTCAACCCAACCTCACCATCAGTCAACATTACTTCACCATCAGTCAACCCAACTTCACCATCAGTAAACATGACATCACCAGTCAACCTTACATCACCAGTCAACCCAACATCACCAACAGTCAACATTACTTCACCACCAGTCAACCCAACTTCACCATCAGTAAACATGACATCAACACCAGCCAACATTACTTCACCATCAGTCAACATTACATCACCCGTCAACCCAACATCACCACCAGTCAATATTACATCACCAGTCAAACCAACCTCACCATCAGTCAACATTACTTCACCATCAGTCAACCCAACTTCACCATCTGTTAGCATGACATCACCACCAGTCAACCTTACATCACCAGTCAACCAACCTCACCATCAGTCAACATTACTTCACCATCAGTAAACCCAACTTCACCATCAGTAAACATGACATCACCACCAGTCAATATTACATCACCAGTCAACCCAACCTCATCATCAGTCAACATTACATCACCATTCAACCCAACCTCACCATCAGTAAACATGACATCACCAGTCAACCCAACCTCACCATCAGTCAACATGACTTCACCACCAGTTACAACAATGCCCTTGCATGGTAATACATGCTCTCCAAAATGGATATACTATATTTTGTATTAACTTAATGATTACTATACCACTAGTCCATAATTAATTATATGTTTTCATTTTATTTAAATGTGAGATACACCAAACATGTAGCATCAGTCTTTTTCATTATTGGACCAATATCACTGGCTGAAATGTATATATAGTAAAGCAACCTGTTATGGTGTAATGTTATATTTATTTCCAATAAATATTTCCTTATTTCAAGGTAATGCAAGCACTCCGCCTGTCACTGGAACATCAGCACCACCAAGCATCACAACTACTAGCTCTCCAACTGCAACTACAACCTCAACACCTACCACAACAGAGCCAAAAATCAAGTTGGGATTTAAGTTGAAAGAAACTTTTACTCCTCAACTTGCAAACAAATCTTCACCAGCGTTCCTTGAACTAAAGAACAAAGTGACCACAGCGGTAAGTTCATATTATATATTTCTTCTGTTTTTGCGTCTTACACTATCCTTTGCTACTCAAGAACATTTATTAAAAAACACTCATTTCAAATGATTATTTTCTTATATTCATCTTTATTCTTAAATGTTTGAATGTTTTTCAACCAAATTCATTCACAGCTCGACATGGTCTATTCAGAACAATATGGATCCAGCTTCAATCGTACTGTCATCAACAGCTTCAGGTATAAAACAATTGCTTGCCATTACATTTGTAAAATGGCTGTTCTACTTGTTTGCTAACATATACAATAGGGCAATAAGGAATCAAAAATGACTTTTCAAAATATTTGTGTTACAGTCAAGGATCCGTTGAGGTAGATGCTGAACTGATATTCAATGAAGGGAATACATTACCAAATACCACTTCTGCAGCTGGAACTTTGGTGACTGCCTCTTCCAGCTCCAATTTTTCTCTCAGTGTCAACACATCTTCTATTTCTGCAGCAGGTAAGACTTGCTGTATCTTCCAACTGTCAAGTTTGATTATTGGGAGGACATACTGACTATCTTGTGACAAGAATATGTTTATCAAAACCACACAATAACGTATTTGAACATTTGTATTTGTATTTGTAGTTGTTTTGGCTGCAACTCCAGCCCCAACCACAGTTGCCCCTTCAACACCACTTGTCAACATCACCTCACCTCCAGTCAACATGACTTCATCACCAGTCAACCCAACATCACCACTAGTCAACCCAACATCACCACCAGTCAACCGGACATCATCACCAGTCAACATGACATCGTCACCAGTCAACATGACATCCCCACCAGTCAACATTACATCACCATTCAACCCAACCTCACCATCAGTAAACATGACATCACCAGTCAACCCAACCTCACCATCAGTCAACATTACTTCACCATCAGTCAACCCAACTTCACCATCAGTAAACATGACATCACCAGTCAACCTTACATCACCAGTCAACCCAACATCACCAACAGTCAACATTACTTCACCACCAGTCAACCCAACTTCACCATCAGTAAACATGACATCAACACCAGCCAACATTACTTCACCATCAGTCAACATTACATCACCCGTCAACCCAACATCACCACCAGTCAATATTACATCACCAGTCAAACCAACCTCACCATCAGTCAACATTACTTCACCATCAGTCAACCCAACTTCACCATCTGTTAGCATGACATCACCACCAGTCAACCTTACATCACCAGTCAACCCAACCTCACCATCAGTCAACATTACTTCACCATCAGTAAACCCAACTTCACCATCAGTAAACATGACATCACCACCAGTCAATATTACATCACCAGTCAACCCAACCTCATCATCAGTCAACATTACATCACCATTCAACCCAACCTCACCATCAGTAAACATGACATCACCAGTCAACCCAACCTCACCATCAGTCAACATGACTTCACCACCAGTTACAACAATGCCCTTGCATGGTAATACATGCTCTCCACAATGGATATACTATATTTTGTATTAACTTAATGATTACTATACCACTAGTCCATAATTAATTATATGTTTTCATTTTATTTAAATGTGAGATACACCAAACATGTAGCATCAGTCTTTTTCATTATTGGACCACTATCACTGGCTGAAATGTATATATAGTAAAGCAACCTTTTTTGGTGTAATGTTATATTTATTTCCAATAAATATTTCCTTATTTCAAGGTAATGCAAGCACTCCGCCTGTCACTGGAACATCAGCACCACCAAGCATCACAACTACTAGCTCTCCAACTACAACTACAACCTCAACACCTACCACAACAGAGCCAAAAATCAAGTTGGGATTTAAGTTGAAAGAAACTTTTACTCCTCAACTTGCAAACAAATCTTCACCAGCGTTCCTTGAACTAAAGAACAAAGTGACCACAGCGGTAAGTTCATATTATATATTTCTTCTGTTTTTGCGTCTTACACTATCCTTTGCTACTCAAGAACATTTATTAAAAAACACTCATTTCAAATGATTCTTTTCTTATTTCATCTTTATTCTTAAATGTTTGAATGTTTTTCAACCAAATTCATTCACAGCTCGACATGGTCTATTCAGAACAATATGGATCCAGCTTCAATCGTACTGTCATCAACAGCTTCAGGTATAAAACAATTGCTTGCCATTACATTTGTAAAATGGCTGTTCTACTTGTTTGCTAACATATACAATAGGACAATAAGGAATCAAAAATGACTTTTCAAAATATTTGTGTTACAGTCAAGGATCCGTTAAGGTAGATGCTGAACTGATATTCAATGAAGGGAATACATTACCAAATACCACTTCTGCAGCTGGAACTTTGGTGACTGCCTCTTCCAGCTCCAATTTTTCTCTCAGTGTCAACACATCTTCTATTTCTGCAGCAGGTAAGACTTGCTGTATCTTCCAACTGTCAAGTTTGATTATTGGGAGGACATACTGACTATCTTGTGACAAGAATATGTTTATCAAAACCACACAATAACGTATTTGAACATTTGTATTTGTATTTGTAGTTGTTTTGGCTGCAACTCCAGCCCCAACCACAGTTGCCCCTTCAACACCACTTGTCAACATCACCTCACCTCCAGTCAACATGACTTCATCACCAGTCAACCCAACATCACCACCAGTCAACCCAACATCACCACCAGTCAACCGGACATCATCACCAGTCAACATGACATCCCCACCAGTCAACATTACATCACCATTCAACCCAACCTCACCATCAGTAAACATGACATCACCAGTCAACCCAACCTCACCATCAGTCAACATTACTTCACCATCAGTCAACCCAACTTCACCATCAGTAAACATGACATCACCAGTCAACCTTTCATCACCAGTCAACCCAACATCACCAACAGTCAACATTACTTCACCACCAGTCAACCCAACTTCACCATCAGTAAACATGACATCAACACCAGCCAACATTACTTCACCATCAGTCAATATTACATCACCAGTCAACCCAACATCACCACCAGTCAATATTACATCACCAGTCAAACCAACCTCACCATCAGTCAACATTACTTCACCATCAGTCAACCCAACTTCACCATCTGTTAGCATGACATCACCACCAGTCAACCTTACATCACCAGTCAAACCAACCTCACCATCAGTCAACATTACTTCACCATCAGTCAACCCAACTTCACCATCTGTTAGCATTACATCACCACCAGTCAACCTTACATCACCAGTCAAACCAACCTCACCATCAGTTAACATGACATCAACACCAGCCAATATTACATCACCAGTCAATCCAACCTCACCATCAGTAAACATGACATCACCAGTCAACCCAACCTCACCATCAGTCAACATTACTTCACCATCAGTCAACCCAACTTCACCATCAGTAAAGATGACATCACCACCAGTCAACCTTACATCACCAGTCAACCCAACCTCACCATCAGTAAACATGACATCACCAGTCAACCCAACCTCATCATCAGTCAATATGACTTCACCACCAGTTACAACAATGCCCTTGCTTGGTAATACATGCTCTCCACAATGGATATACTATATTTTGTATTAACTTAATGATTATTATACCACTAGTCCATAATTAATTATATGTTTTCATTTTATTTAAATGTGAGATACACCAAACATGTAGCATCAGTCTTTTTCATTATTGGACCACTATCACTGGCTGAAATTTATATATAGTAAAGCAACCTTTTTTGGTGTAATGTTATATTTATTTCCAATAAATATTTCCTTATTTCAAGGTAATGCAAGCACTCCGCCTGTCACTGGAACATCAGCACCACCAAGCATCACAACTACTAGCTCTCCAACTACAACTACAACCTCAACACCTACCACAACAGAGCCAAAAATCAAGTTGGGATTTAAGTTGAAAGAAACTTTTACTCCTCAACTTGCAAACAAATCTTCACCAGCGTTCCTTGAACTAAAGAACAAAGTGACCACAGCGGTAAGTTCATATTATATATTTCTTCTGTTTTTGCGTCTTACACTATCCTTTGCTACTCAAGAACATTTATTAAAAAACACTCATTTCAAATGATTCTTTTCTTATTTCATCTTTATTCTTAAATGTTTGAATGTTTTTCAACCAAATTCATTCACAGCTCGACATGGTCTATTCAGAACAATATGGATCCAGCTTCAATCGTACTGTCATCAACAGCTTCAGGTATAAAACAATTGCTTGCCATTACATTTGTAAAATGGCTGTTCTACTTGTTTGCTAACATATACAATAGGACAAAAAGGAATCAAAAATGACTTTTCAAAATATTTGTGTTACAGTCAAGGATCCGTTAAGGTAGATGCTGAACTGATATTCAATGAAGGGAATACATTACCAAATACCACTTCTGCAGCTGGAACTTTGGTGACTGCCTCTTCCAGCTCCAATTTTTCTCTCAGTGTCAACACATCTTCTATTTCTGCAGCAGGTAAGACTTGCTGTATCTTCCAACTGTCAAGTTTGATTATTGGGAGGACATACTGACTATCTTGTGACAAGAATATGTTTATCAAAACCACACAATAACGTATTTGAACATTTGTATTTGTATTTGTAGTTGTATTGGCTGCAACTCCAGCCCCAACCACAGTTGCCCCTTCAACACCACTTGTCAACATCACCTCACCTCCAGTCAACATGACTTCATCACCAGTCAACCCAACATCACCACCAGTCAACCCGACATCCCCACCAGTCAACATTAAATCACCATTCAACCCAACCTCACCATCAGTAAACATGACATCCCCACCAGTCAACATTACATCACCAGTCAACATTACTTCACCATCAGTCAACCCAACTTCACCATCTGTTAGCATGACATCACCCGCAGTCAACCTTACATCACCAGTCAAACCAACCTCACCATCAGTCAACATTACTTCACCATCAGTCAACCCAACTTCACCATCAGTTAACATGACATCAACACCAGTCAACCTTACATCACCAGTCAACCCAACATCACCAACAGTCAACATTACTTCATCACCAGTCAACCCAACATCACCACCAGTCAATATTACATCACCAGTCAAACCAACCTCACCATCAGTCAACATTACTTCACCATCAGTCAACCCAACTTCACCATCAGTAAACATGACATCACCAGTCAACCTTACATCACCAGTCAACCCAACATCACCATCAGTCAACATTACTTCACCATCAGTCAACCCAACTTCATCATCAGTTAACATGACATCAACACCAGCCAATATTACATCACCAGTCAACCCAACCTCATCACCAGTCAACATTACATCCCCAGTTAACCCAACTTCACCATCTGTCAGCATGACATCACCACCAGTCAACCTTACATTACCAGTCAACCCAACCTCACCATCAGTCAACATTACTTCACCATCAGTCAACCCAACTTCACCATCAGTAAAGATGACATCACCACCAGTCAACATTACATCCCCAGTTAACCCAACCTCATCATCAGTCAACATGACATCACCACCAGTCAACCTTACATCCCCAGTTAACCCAACTTCACCATCTGTCAGCATGACATCACCACCAGTCAACCTTACATCACCAGTCAACCCAACCTCACCATCAGTCAACATTACTTCATCATCAGTCAACCCAACTTCACCATCAGTAAACATGACATCACCACCAGTCAATATTACATCACCAGTCAACCCAACCTCATCACCAGTCAACATTACATCCCCAGTTAACCCAACTTCACCATCTGTCAGCATGACATCACCACCAGTCAACCTTACATCACCAGTCGACCCAACCTCACCACCAGTCAATATTACATCACCAGTCAACCCAACCTCATCACCAGTCAACATTACATCACCATTCAACCCAACATCACCATCAGTAAACATGACATCACCAGTCAACCCAACCTCACCATCAGTCAACATTACTTCACCACCAGTCAATATTACATCACCAGTCAACCCAACCTCATCACCAGTCAACATTACATCCCCAGTTAACCCAACTTCACCATCTGTCAGCATGACATCACCACCAGTCAACCTTACATCACCAGTCAACCCAACCTCACCATCAGTCAACATTACTTCACCATCAGTCAACCCAACTTCACCATCAGTAAACATGACATCACCACCAGTCAACCTTACCTCACCAGTCAACCCAACCTCACCATCTGTCAGCATGACATCACCACCAGTCAACCTTACATCACCAGTCAACCCAACTTCATCATCAGTCAACATGACTTCACCACCAGTTACAACAATGCCCTTGCCTGGTAATACATGCTCTCCACAATGGATATACTATATTTTGTATTAACTTAATGACTATTATGCCACTAGTCCATAATTAATTATATGTTTTCATTTTATTTAAATGTGAGATACACCAAACATGTAGCATCAGTCTTTTTCATTATTGGACCACTATCACTGGCTGAAATGTATATATAGTAAAGCAACCTTTTTTGGTGTAATGTTATATTTATTTCCAATAAATATTTCCTTATTTCAAGGTAATGCAAGCACTCCGCCTGTCACTGGAACATCAGCACCACCAAGCATCACAACTACTAGCTCTCCAACTACAACTACAACCTCAACACCTACCACAACAGAGCCAAAAATCAAGTTGGGATTTAAGTTGAAAGAAACTTTTACTCCTCAACTTGCAAACAAATCTTCACCAGCGTTCCTTGAACTAAAGAACAAAGTGACCACAGCGGTAAGTTCATATTATATATTTCTTCTGTTTTTGCGTCTTACACTATCCTTTGCTACTCAAGAACATTTATTAAAAAACACTCATTTCAAATGATTATTTTCTTATTTCATCTTTATTCTTAAATGTTTTAATGTTTTTCAACCAAATTCATTCACAGCTCGACATGGTCTATTCAGAACAATATGGATCCAGCTTCAATCGTACTGTCATCAACAGCTTCAGGTTTAAAACAATTGCTTGCCCTACATTTTAAACAGTGTGTTTTCATACTTGTCTGCTAATGAATTCCTTATAATTTAGTTAATAATAGAAACAAAACTGTGTTTACAACTTTGTTTTAATTTTGTGTTATTATATGGTGACGATCAGAATGTTTTGAACAAATTAAAAATGTTATTTTCTTTAAAAGATATATCTGTAATCCCTAGATATGAAGCCTTAGCTAAACAACCAGGTAACCACCAAAGATAACGTTTCAAAAATATGTTTCTTACAGTCAAGGATCCGTTGTGGTTGATGCTGAAGTGATATTCAATGACGTGACAACATTGCCAAATGCCACGTCTGTGGCTTCAGCTTTGGCAACTGCTTCTTCCAGCTCTAATTTTTCTCTCACCGTCAACGTATCCTCTATTTCTGCAACAGGTAAGATTTCTCCTAATGTACAAATGTTGTTTTTTTCTTATTACAAACACCAACTGAATATGTGATGACAAGAATAACTATTTTAAAGCTATGATAACTAATTTGACAATTGTTATTTTCAGCTCTTTTGGCACCAACTAAAACCCCAACCACAGTTGCCCCTTCAACACCACTGGTCAACTTCACCTCACCTCCACTCACAACAGCCGCTTCCACTGCTGCACCAGTTCCTTTAACCACAACCGCATCAATAATTTCTACCACATCCAATGAGGGAACCCTTGGACTACAGTTTAGTCTCAACCAAACATTTACAGCAGATCTCTCAAACTCATCCTCAACAGCATACCAGACCTTGGCTGCAGAAGTGGTCAAAGAGGTAAGATAAAATAAAAGTATGCTTAAAATGTATTTAATTCAATAAGCATCAGAGGATAAACAATTAGTTTGAAATACATTGTATCATTAAGCGACTAAATATAATTGATAAAGGTCTTCCAGTGATGTATATCATATTTTGGTCCTTCTATTTTTCTTCAGAATTTTTATTGTGGAACCGTTAATCAGAAATGTGCCTTCGATACCTCCTTACTTCCTTAATTTACCTAGATTTTTGCATTGAAAATGATAATAATGTATTCTTTCAGCTCAACAAAGTGTGTACAACTCTGTTTGGATCATCTTTCGTTCGCTCCGTTGTTGACTCATTCACGTAAGAATTCATTTTATTAAGTTGCTTATTTTTTCTGGACATTTTCAAGTCACTTGCTTTTAAAAAAGGTTTTGCTCTCTCTGTGTTTTCATTGTAGGAGTGGCTCGGTGGTTGCAGACACAACCATTGCATTTAAAGATACAAGCTCAGTTCCTTCATCAAGCACAGCTACTTCACAGCTCAGCAGTGCATTAACAAGCAACTCTACCTCCCTGAGCGTTATATCAGGCAGTGTTTCTATAAGTAAGTAATTGGAACTTATCAAACGTTATTACTCTGGTCATAAATCCATTGAAATGATATGCATTTTGAAGTGTCAGATTAATTGATAACCCATTTGTATTGGTACAGCTTCTTCTACTGCTTCCACCGCCACACCTACTGCTACAGCTGCCCCTACTGCAGCTCCTACTGCAGCTCCAACTGCAGCTCCAACTGCAGCTCCTACTGCAGCTCCAACTGCAGCTCCAACTGCAGCACCCACTACAGCACCCACTGCAGCACCCACTGCAGCTCCAACTGCAGCTCCTACTGAAGCTCCAACTGCAGCACCAACTGCAGCTCCAACTGCAGCACCCACTACAGCACCCACTGCAGCACCCACTGCAGCTCCAACTGCAGCTCCTACTGAAGCTCCAACTGCAGCACCAACTGCAGCTCCTACTAAAGCTCCCACTGCAGCTCCTACTACTGCCACAACAACAGCTTCTACTGATCCTCCTACATCCAGTGAGGGAACTCTTGGCCTTCAGTTCAGTCTCAACCAAACATTTACATCAGACCTCTCAGACTCATCATCAACTGCGTACAAGACTTTGGCTGCAACAGTGATCAGTGAGGTAAGATCCCTTAGCACTTTGATAGTGTATTGCAAACAAAGTTAGATTTTCTTTCAACAATAAACATAAGAATACTGGAAAACACTTTAAATGTTTTCTATTGTAAAAATTATCAAATTATCCCTACTATTTTAAATTAACCTGTTAACATTAATGGATATAGACCACATTAATGACATAACCCAGTCATAAGAAGGCCAACAGAAATGTTCAAAACTGTCAATTAAGTTTATTCTGTAGTTAAACCCTTCAGGATATTTTAAACAGATAGCTAATGCTGTATTTTAATGTACACCAGCCATGTTTAAGGACTATATTCACTTGTATAGTCCTTACAGTAATCCTGTATTATATTGAAAGGTGTTTTTTTTCAGTTTGCCACTTCCCCTTAAGTACAGTTAAACGCAGATCATAGTGTGTACTAATATTGGTAAGCTGCTTATAGATGCTTGTGACCATAGTTTTTATTTTGCATTGCAATTGACAGTAATGTTTTCTTTCAGGTAAACAAAGCGGCTCAAAAACTCTATCGATCATCTTTCCTTCGCAGCATTATTAACAAATTCACGTAAGACTTAATTTCAGTCCCTGACTTTTTTGTTAGACATTTGCCCTTTCTACTCCCTGTCACTAAGTGTCGCTTTCTCTCTTTGTCACTCTAGGCAAGGATCAGTGAAAGTTGACATGACCCTTGTGTTCACAAATAAAACCTCAACTCCTACAGCAAGCGATGCAACTTCAAAATTCAGCACTGCGCTTAGCTCTTCATCCCTGAATGTTGTACAAGGCAGCGTTTCTGCACGTAAGTGGTTGTAAACTATAACGTCAAACTATGAATTTAAGGTGTAATTATTTATTTATATTAAATAATAAAACACGTTACAATGTCATTTGTGTGATTTTCTGGTGTATATTAAAGATATAACAGGGCTCAAGATTTGGATGTAGCATAGCCTTTATTTCCTGCCTTAGAATTCAGTTTTAGTCCAGATAATAACACTGACCACAAACTTTGCTTTTTCTAATATTTCAGAATCAACATCCACGTCAAGCAGTCCCCCTCGGCCCACAATGGGCTCACTGGTCGTGTTTTCACTAACCCTGCTGGCTGTGGCCCTGACGATGACAAACTAATACCAAACATCAAAGGCAGATACACTTGGCTAAGAGCTTTTTCTATGCTATCAAGTGGGATCAAAGCAATGTACCACCAAACTGAGAGCAAGACATAACATGCGTGCAAAATGAAATTTACCAATACAATGTTAAATGGTAAAAGGATGTGTGTGCAAACGATTTATTTTGTTCAGTATTTTATACATGTGATGTTACAATCAATTGTGATCGATTCAATTTATTTTTTCTTTTCTTTAAAAATAACTTGTCATTGAGATAAGTAATCAAACATACCATATTTTATACTAATTTGGCTTTTTATAACAGCTTCCATTCAATGTATTTGTTTTGTAAATGCTTATTTTTATGCTATTAGTCACATGTAATTTGTTCCCAAATGTTAAACTGTATAGAAGATAATGTAATACATATTTATCTATAATAAAAAGCATATAAAGATCAAGCAGGACACAAATTACATTAAATGCCATTGTTAAGTGTGAGTGATGGAAGAAGTGTGCAGGTGATGTAGCGTGGTGCCAAAAGCTTGTGTTTTTGTAAAATGATCTTGATGCGGAAAAATAATGATTCATATGACTTCTGAGGCAAACTACCAGTGTAGGACATGTTAGACCATGCTAGTCTTTCCCTTACCCAAACCATGTCGTTTGTGAAAACATTTTAGTTTCCACAGAATGTCATTGCAATACAAATAATTGTCATTGAATTGATTAATACTATTTTTCCTGTATGACTTTGAGAAGGGGAATAATACGTATGTGTATCTTTGTTAATCAATAAAGTATTTAAATGTTACCTTGGGAGTTACTTTACTTTTAATTTTTTTATTTCTTTTATGTAAACAAGAATATTTTGCCTCTAATCCAAAGTGTAAACACTTTTTGTGTGTAAAGCAATGATTATGTCGCCCAAATTATTTGGCAGGAAATTAACCAATTGGCGCATAGAGTCTGAAAGGGTTTTTAAAAAACAGCTTCTCACATTCACCAATTTGTTACTTGAACACCTGGTGAAGTAACAACACACTTTTTGGGTAAAGAGCTTAGACTCAGGCCCGGTTCTACGGGGGTGCATAAGGGTTAAAGTTAAAAATTAAAAGTTAAAAAAATAAAAAATAAAAAATCCAAAATATTACATATATAATAACAATAATAATAATTGTAGTAATAATAATAATTGTAGTAAGAAGAAGAAGAAGAAGAAGAAGAAGAAGAAGAAGAATATAGTCAATGATGGACATAAAAAAAATGGTTAAAACAACCAGCCCTTATCGCCAGCAGTAACACTGCATCTACACTGAAAAAATAAGGCCGTTGGATTAACATGATTTTAATATGGAAACCGGTTGCACACATTACAAATATGTGTACTCAAAACTATTCCATTATGTTAAAGACACACAACTATGTTATGTCAAAGAAACATGAAATTGTTATGTTCATTTGAATATTTCCTTTAATATAGGTATATTCATTTACCCTATGTTTAACCAACATGACTTTTTTATGTTCATTTTAGGCTTTTAATATGCTCAGTATATTTAACTTGTACCTGTTAAAGCAACATGATTTCTTTATTTAAGCTTCACTGTAAAAAGTCTGTTGGACTTAAATAATAAAAAACATGGAGATCGGTTGCACATATTAAAATCATGTGTGCTCAAAACTATTCCATTATGTTAGAGACACACAACTATGTTATGTCAAAGAAACATGAAATTGTTATGTTAATGTGAACATTTCCTTTAATATAGGTATATTCATTTACCCTATGTTTAACCAACATGACTTTTTATGTTCATTTTAGGCTTTTAATATACTCAGTATATTTCTGTATAGAGCCACATGAATGTTTTGTTTAAACTACATGCTATAGTTTTCTGTTTAATCTACCGTGCTCAAGGGGTACATAAGATTATTTATTTCATGTGAATAGAGGCATTTCGTACATTCTTCTACAGGATCCATCCTAATCTCTTATATCTACAGCATTTATCACAAGATTTTAAAACAAATAGTCAATAAAGACAAACACATTTCTTTGAACAACATTCATGTATTTTTCTCAAAAAATACAATATTAACAACCACCACACATCCAGATGAGCTTTTGGTTGTTCCATCATGCAGCCCCAGGAGAATTAACAAATACATTGAAAATAAAGAAATAGAAGAAATAGAAAAAGTTTGTGATGCATGTACATTATTGTGTTAGAACACAGCAAGGAAGCTTAAAGGAAACTATTCTCCCGACCAAAATAAAGGTTTATTGGGACAGATGGCAAAGAAAGGCTTATTTTTGTAACTCATTTATAGTAAACAATTAACAGAAAATGTCAACGCCTAGCCGAAAAAAGGAAATGTTCTTGCAAATCCATTATTTAAATAGTAATCTGCTAATATGAAAGGGCACTTTAATGCAAAAAAAGCAATGGCATTGCTTTGGAAAAATACATGAAAGTATAAAAATGGCCTGGTTTCTCACCACATATGCACTAAAGAAAGTATTGCAAATAAAAACAAGAACTGACATTTTGAAGTAGCGCAATTAGTACATTCTGAAACACATGACAAGTGGTACATTCTGAAAACACATGACCCCAGGAAAAACACACATTTCTGAAACATGCAAATCAAGCAAAAAGCATGAGCAAAGGAAGTGCAAGACAGTTGTATCGATGAAAGTCCAGTATGAATGCTGTAAAAGTGCACAATGGTCCATGGCAACAGCTCACTCAAACAGTTTGTTTTTAAACGCTTGGGCTTTCTTGGAGAGCATGTTGCCGTCTAGCTCCATTAACATTTGCTGGAGCACTTCAAATGTGCACTTCAGTTTAGGGGGGTAGTTCAGGTTCATTGCATACATTAGTCCAAATAACATGGTAGCAGCTAATGCAATGTTGTCCACATCAGTTAGTAGGCTACCTGTTGGCCTTCCAGGACAATTTGTCCTCTGGTCTCATGGTGGTATTGTGTTTGACAACATAAAGTCCCACTGTAATCCCCTCAATGGACCGCAGAATGACGTCTTCATCTTCTGCCTGCAGAGTGCACAGTCACAAAAGGAACAGAGTGAGATCCAACAAATCAATACATATATATACCCATTACTAAATCCCTGTGTTTAATAAGTACATTTGGTCAGATTTCAGTACTTTTAAGCCTCATTGTTATCTGATATACTCCTGTCTGACCTGATAACAAATGTTTCACTTCCTGTATCCGTTTTAAATTAAAAGCCCTCTAGCTGTTCAGTATAGTCTGGCTATTAAACAAACAACAGGGATGTTCACATACTTTTGGCTATATACTATGTGGTGTTTCAATAAATACATATTTTAAAGCCCAACAAACAAAATCAAAAGGTCAAATATGACTTCTACTCACCACAAACTCTCTCAGCTTCTGGGTCCTCATTGAGGTGCACACACAGAGGTATACACAGGGCTGGCCCGCCACACTGGCGTTATAGATGTTCGCCTAGGGCGCTAAACTTTAGAGGGAGCGCAGGGGGTGCATGCCAGATTTGTATTTTTTATTTATTTTAATTAAAAATATTAAATATATGTATATGTTTTGTTCTTTTTGTAGGCGCCCCCCAGATTTCACAAAACAGCATTTCACAAAACACCACAGCATTTCACAAAACACCACAGCATTTCACAAAACGCCACAGCATTTCACAAAAAGCCACAGCATTTCACAAAACACCAGAGCATTTCACAAAACACCACAGTATTTCACATTGGACGGAAAGGGTATTCCTTTAGGGAGAACACTTCTTGTTTATGATTGGACAGAGCCAGCCAGAGAAGCACTGCTGTGATTGGTTGTTTTTGCTGCCAGTCAAGAAATGACGCTTCGTGATTGGTCAACGCCCAACAGCGCAATATGTCCCAACCGGTCCCAACCCAGTCTATAGAGAGGCGAAGTCCCTCCCCTTCCGGGAGCCTCCATGGGACCCCGGAAGCGGAAAATTATACATTGAAGTCAATGGAGAGAGAAAAGTTATCTTTTGATTCCGTTTCAATTGTGCCACAAATGACACATATGTTTGTCAATTTAAAAGAACATTTTGCAAGTAAAACAAATTAAAATGTGTCGTAAAACTGTGAAGTTACACATTTTTTTGTGTGAAACCGCTCAGTGAACTACAGGTCTCTGGTCTCGCACAATACGCGTCACCATCACAAAGCCGGCCGTCACGTTAGCAAATTTCACCTGTTTCTTTCAGAATGAGGTGAAAAGTATAAAACGAGGTGAACATCACTACAAGTCTGGGCATGTTGAGAGCTGTACATACACGAAAGGGGAGTTAGTCGGTTCTGTAAGAGCCAGCATGCGGGACCGGCTTTACAAGGTTTCGGTGAGTAATATGAGTGCAATGTGTAACGTTAATGTCAGCTAGCTAACATTAGCTAACAAGGTACACTAACGTGTTTTGTTTTAGTAACTAGTTTTCTCCTTCGTGGTCTCTGTGTATGCTGTGGATAACATTAGTGTTCACAAGAACAAGGTACACTCCCGTGTTTTGTTTTAGTTGCTCTTCAGATTGAAGCGGCCAGTTTTATATCGACTATACTGTATGTGTGATCTCTGTCACGGTTGAGTGAAGGAAGCAGGACCCAAATGCACAACACTAGGGCCACCAGGGTGGGTGGAGGGGGTCTGGAGGACGGGTTTTGGGCTGACAGCCCAGGAGCACAGCGGAGGGCCCGGAAGGGATCTCGGACGGACGGCCCGGGGGCAAGGCAAAGTCCAAGGTGGGGGTCTCGGGCGGACGGCCCGGGGGCAAGGCAAAGTCGAAGGTGGGGGTCTCGGGCGGACGGCCCGGGGGCAAGGTAGAGTCCATGGAGGGGCGAAGACCACAGCGGGCAAACTCAGGGGGGGCGAAGGCAGCGGCAGGAAGAGTCAGGGGGCCGAGCATGAGGGCGAAGGCAGTGGCAGGAAGAGTCAGGGGGCCGAGCATGAGGGCGAAGACCGTGGCACTCAGGGGGCCGGGCTCGAGGGCAAAGACCGCGGCTCTCAGGGGGCCGGGCTCGAGGCCGAAGACCGCGGCTCTCAGGGGGCCGGGCTCGAGGCCGAAGACCACGGCTCTCAGGGGGCCGGGCTCGAAGGCGATGACCGGACAGCTCCGGAGGCCGGGCAGGAAGGCGCTGACGGGACAGCTCCGGAGGCCGGGCAGGACCCGGTGTCGGCCGGACAGGAACCAGAGCCGGTGGGACAGGCTTCGGCAGGATCCCCCACGGAAGAGGACCAGGAGTTGGCAGGACCCCCGGCGAGACAGGTAACGGCGGGACCTCCAACGGAACAAGACATAGGATTGGCAGGACTCTCAGCGGGTCCTCAAACGGAACAGGACATAGGGCTGGCAGGACCCCCGGCAGAAGAGTCGTCGGCGGGACCCCCAATGGGACAGGACACAGGGTTGGCAGGACCCCCGGCAGGAGAGCAGTCGTCGGGACCTCCAATGGTACAGGACATAGGGTTGGCAGGACCCCCGGCAGAAGAGTAGTCGGCGGGACCTCTAACGGCACAGGACATAGGGCTGGCAGGACCCCCGGCAGAAGATTAGTCGGCGGGGCCTCCAACGGCACAGGACATAGGGCTGGCAGGACCCCCGGCAGAAGAGTAGTCGGCGGGGCCTCCAACGGCACAGGACACAGGGTTGGCAGGACCCCCGGCAGAAGAGTAGTCGGCGGGGCCT